ATTATCAGTTATTTCAGGGTTTGAGCTGGACTCCAGGTAAGTAGTATGCTCCCTGCTTTGTTAAGAAAATCAGCTGGTGCATGTGTGTGTGTGTGTGTGTGTGTGTCAGATGGTTCTCCCTGTTGATGAGAGCCTGACTGAGTCCATGGGTATGAAATCCAAGTCTTCGTCCCTGTGTAAAGATCCACTGCTGAAGGCTGGTGAGTGTGTCCACATGAATATCAACAGGTGACATCTGGTTCACATCATTTCGATTCACAGCTGTAATGTTGCATGTTCTGTCCGCCTCAGTGTTCGGAGGCGTCATGTCTCGGACGTACCGTTTCCCCACCACGGATGGAAACCACCTGCGGATCCTGGAGCAGATGGCAGAGAGCGCCCTGTCCCTGCACATCCCCCGACAGTTCGTCAAACTGCTGCTGGAGGAAGATGCCGTCAGGTAACGTCTGAACGTTGTGAATGAGCAGAGTGAGAATGTCTCACCATGGGAGCAACCAGGTGTTGTCTGGAAGTGGTTCCCAACCTGGTGATGCTTTAACACACAGCAATGTTGACATGCTGATGTCAGGCTCCAGTCAGGTCATTAGATGGGTTCTATCTTGTCTTAAAGACGTAAACTCTGGGCAATTTGATTTGGACACATAAAGGAGGAGATTGTGGAAGTCAGACATGTTCACAACAAAAAGAAAATGTCCAGTACATGCAGGCGAGTAAAGCAGGAGGCAAGACGTGACGTATGAAGTGCGCTGCAGAAGTCATGTTTTGTTCTCATCGTCAGCTCTTATCCCTCGAAACCTTTTTGACAAGTTGACATCTCATCAGCATCTTCTACATTTATGTCACCTTTTTTTCACAAAGAGCTATTTGTGTTCTTTTCGGGGGGGTTTCAGCTTCACATGTGAAACATCCCCTCACTCACTGTGAATTTGTTTTTCTGCTCAGACATTTTATTAGGGGTGTGGCTGGAAAAGGGAAATGTTCGGAGTAACTGACTCAAACATTTGCCTTCTCACATTCAGCCCCTCTGGATTAATTCAGGAAAAGGCTGACTTGGTTTTCAGTCTAATCATAAAAAGTATGGCATGATAATCATTTTCTTTCAGTGCGTGTATTTATCGAAGAGAAAAACATTATATCTTTATTACCCCAGAGGATGTTATTCTTTATCACGGACACTAAATTCTGTATATTGTATCGTCATCATCATCTCATGGTCAAAACAACATCATCACTACGACTCCCACTTTTTTCTTAATGGTTGTTGGGAAGTTTGTAATGTGAGAAAATGGAGACGTGTTTATTTTTAGAGACATAAACTGAAGCAGCTGCACGCTGCGAGCTCATCAGTGCATTAGCTGGATGTCTGGATCATTAATGCCGTTGTGCTTCACAGGGTGTGTGAGCTGGAGGAACTGGGCGAGCTGTCTCCATGTTGGGAAAACCTCAGGAGGCAGATCATCACTCAGTATCAGACCATCATCCTCACATACCAGGAGACCATAAGTGACCTGCACGAGTATAAAGGTCGGAACCACAAACTGTTGATCACATTTTGTAATAATAACAGACGCTACTGATTTCACATGTCAAATATAAAACAAATATCTCAAACTAAATCTTTTTTTAGTAACTAAAGTGAAGGCGGGACATATACAAGCATTAACCAGGCAGGAAGAGCCCAACACAAATTATTTTATCGACCATTTTCTCATGATTCTAATAAGTGGAAGTGTCTTTCTGTAAAAAACAAATAAAAATCAATGTTGATAACAGTCAAAAATAAATGTGACCTCTCTGACCTCCTCCTTCATCTCAGGTCCGTCCTTTAAGTCGAGCACCTTGAAAGCTGAGAGGAAGCTGGAGTTCATACCCACTAACCTTCATATCCAGAGGATGAGAGTACAGGGAGAGTCTGGTTATGGTGGGTATCTGTGCACACAGAATTCTGTGAGTCCAGACTTTTAATAATACTGATAATGAATCTTATTTCATGCTCTATCTTCCAATCAGACCACACATATGATGTTGTGACCATCGGAGCTCCTGCAGCGCATCACCAAGGCTTTAAAGGCTGCGGCCTCCGAAAACTGCTGCACAAGCTCGAGGACGCCAGAAAACAGTGAGTGGAGGAAAATCACGTGGTTCTTGGTGATTGATTTTAGTTATTAATTAATTAATGATTTTTTTGGTTTGCTTGCTTCTCTTAATTCAGCACATATGAGGAGGAAAGGTAAGATTATCTGTATAAATCAGATATATGTAAGTCATTACAGATTGTGTGTTGTTGTTGTTGTTGTTGTTGTTGTTGTTGTTGTTGATGTTGATGTGTATACAACACTTTCCTTATTTGCTGTTTTCTCTGTCAATGCTCATCCAAAGCTCTGCCGGCTCTGGCTCTAAAGCAAAGACATACCAGCCTCAGGATGTGGTCAAAGCGAAGGAGCTGATTGGTCAAATCAACACTCTGAAGACGCAAGTGTGTTACTACACTGAACGTCTGTCGCGAGCTGCCAAGGAACGCTCAGCCAACGCTCTGGAGAGAACCCTGGCCATCCTGACAGAGAAGGTAAGACGATCAAGAGCTGCAGTTTCTTCTCAGTTTGACGTCACAGCACTCAGAGGAATCAGTGACAATCTGAAGCAGAGATACTACACACTCTTGATTTTTGTTTCCTGGTTGTCCATCCCCTTGTGAACACGATATCTCAGGAACACCTTGAGGGAATGTCTTCAAATTTGACTGATTGGCAGAGGCATAAAACTGCACGGCAGTAAATCAAGTTATCATAGGTTTTTTAGCTTTAAATAGAATTGTTCAGAGACACAGTTGATTTAACTTCACCTAATGTCTCCTGTATAAGAACATTTCATGTCTCTGTCCTCTTCCTCTCCTCCTGCAGACTCGTCAGTTAGTGACCGTGTGCGACTCCAAGCTCCTGTCGTCAGCCATCCTCGCCCTGGCAGCCGCCCGCCCAGAGTTCCTTCAGCAAGGCACCCCTTCGCCGTCCTCCTCCTCCCTCTCGCCCTCTTCTCGCTCTCCATCCCGCTCCCCCTCTCGTCACCCTAACTCCCCGTCTCGCGCTGCCACCTCACCCTCTCGCCACGCGGCTCCTCCAGAGGGCAGCGAGGGGAGCAAAAACAAGCGGTCCTCCCTGCAGGCAGAGGTACACGAGGAGGAGTGGGTAAGAGAGAGTCTGCAGGCCTCTGTTCAGGTGTTTTTTTTTATTCTATCTGAACTAAATAAACGAAACATTTATGATGTGTGTTGATGCAGGAGAAGGACTGGTTAAATGTTGATAAGAGTCTGGAGTGTGTGATCCAGAGGGTGGACAGGCTGCTGCACCGAGACAAACTCCAGAGTGACAGTAGCTCTGAGGACGTCTTCCTGCTCGCCAACGAGGAGCCTAGTAACACCAAGAAAGGTACACACACACGCACTCGCACTCGCACTTGCTGTATAGTCTGTGAATGAGGTACAATCATTTATTCATGTACTGATTGATCTCACCTCAGTCCTCAAAGACCTGAGGGTTCATATGAATGAATGGCCTTTAAGAGGTATCCATAGTAACCACATCCTGACCATAAAGTAATGATTTACCATCATCATCACTACTGCAACCATCACGCCATCCTCCATTATCCTCATTGTCCTCGCATCCACCTCGTCAACATCAACCTGTCAGCCCTCGTCTTCGTCATCCTCACACAGGACTGGAGCAGGCTCCCACTCACACATCTGCAGATTCATCACTTCAAGCTGCTCCAGTGATGCTGAATGTTAATTATTGCAAAATGCAGAATTGAAAGTAAAAATAGAATTTGGTTTTGATTCATTTTATGTTTTTATTTCTCTCTCTCACTTGAAGATAAGAGTCCAGAAGTAGAGAAGACATCCCCAGGTGAGAGCAATATGTCCTCTACAAATCAGACATGTCATGGACTAGTTACATGTAAGATAAAATGAGGGAAAAAATGATAAGACCAACTACTG